CCTGGATATAAATATTTTCCAGGAATGAAAGACCGATATTTACTGAAGATGTTGAATTAACCTGTTTTATATTTAAAACTGGGGAGGATATTTTAAAACAACTATCAGGAACTAAACTGTCTTTTCGGACCACTTCAATGGGAATGAAAACGTTGATTATCGATTCTGCAAGAATAAGACCAACCAAAGGGGGAATGAACTCAAAAATCCTAACGGTCATCTAACCAAAGGTAGTGAGTCGATAATGTCACTGTGGAGAAAGAAATGGGAAACCTATCCACTATCCTTCCCAAAAGCAAACAGTAATCTACTTAGTGAGTTTGCATGAAGAGATAGCATAACAAGGACAAATAGAGATGGTAATGGGTCAAAGGTTAGAGCAACAAAAATTCAGAAGGGGGTGCAGAACCATATTCTATGCCCTGAAAGAATGATAAATAGAAAACTGCGTTTCGTGATAAAAAATAAATGATTTCAGTTTGAAAGATTTTAATGAATTTCATATTTTACATTTTTTATATTTTACATTTTTAGTTTGACACATTTTAACAATGAGACAACCCATACACACGTCACATGATCGGAACACTAACATTCTGATCAATCACCCACGCACGTATATAAAATAAGCTGCTTTTATTTGAGTCAGGATTTGTTGCGCCTGTTTAATCCAACAGCATATATTAGCCCATTTTACAAAGAATAGAACAGACATGTGTTTATTATTTTTACAGAAAACGTTCGTTTTTACTAACAATTCACACAATACAATGTCCAAAAGCCACGTAAGGCAGAGGGTTACTGAAAGAAGTTGTTATATGAGCGTACGGGGAGAAGGAAAGAAGTATGAGCAAATGCAGAAAAGGTTCACTCAGAATAGAACAGGCATATGTTATCTTTTTTTTTTTTTAGAGAAAACATTAATTTTTACTAACACTTCACACAATACAAGGCCCAAAAGCCACTCAAGGTAGAGGGTTTCTTAATAAGTTTATTATATTAGCGTAAGAGGGCAACGGAAGAAGTATGATCATATGCAGAAACGATAAAGGTTAACCCAGAATAGAACAGGCATATGTTATTTTTTTTTTTTTTTTTAGAGAAAACGTTAATTTTTTACTAACAGTTCACACAATACAAGGCCCAAAAGCCACTCAAGGTAGAGGGTTTCTGAATAAGGTTGTTATATTAGCGTAAGAGGACAACGGAAGAAGTATGAGCATATGCAAGAAAGATAAAGGTTAACCCAGAATAGAACAGACATATTGTTATCTTTTTTTTACAGAAAACGTTCGTTTTTACTAACAGTTCACACAATACAAGGCCCGAAAGCCACTCAAGGTAGAGGGTTACTGAATGAGGTTGTTATATGAGCGTAAGAAGACAACGTAAAAAGTATGAGCATATGCTGGTAAGATAAAGGCTAACCCTAGACTTGTAGAGGTTAAGATTGTAGCGATCGGAGGGAGAAGGGTCCTCATGGGAACCAGTTCCACAAAGTAGCGGACCTTGAGAAGTGGTCGTCATACGAAGGGTATACGAATGACGTTCATATAACTTTGAAACATTGGTACCCGTATAATCACCGAAGTTAAGCAACGTCGAGCCTTGTCAGTACCTAGATGGGTGACCGCTTGGTAATAACGTGCTCTAAGCATGGATGTGTGGATGGTGTAATTGATAACGGCTCAGAATTGTTAATCGGGGAGCCGTGTTCTAATCCGCTTTGGTTTCGTTATATTAACTTACCCGCAAATGCCCTTGGGAAAGGTATGAATCCAGCTATTCTTCCCCAGCTATGTGTTAATTAGTAATAGTTGTATCACTATTATTAAGTTATTATCTTAAAAAATACAATATGAAAATATTTTCTGTCTTTAAATAACCTCCAAAGTGTTAAGCCGTAAAAAAATAAAACGAATGTCAACAAAGGGGATATAGGGGTTCGTCCCAGTGTGCGTATTATGGCGGGTCTTAGATGTGAAGGTTAAAACGGGTGGAACTAAGAAATAGAAGTAACTAGCAGCATGACCCGGCGTTACCCGTGCTTGATTAAAAAATCGTACGACTCATACAGCAATCGCTATCACTTGACTTAAAATATTTTTGCTCTTCCTTGCCTTTAAAGGAGTGCCCTTTGCCGTGCTGATGTTGCTACATGCCTTACTTCTTGCCACTGCGAATTTTTTCTAAGCTCTATACTAAACATTAAATCTGTTACGAAAAAAGAACTAAACAAAATGAACACAAAACAATCAGCTTTAAAAAGGACTCGTAACTGGAAAAACCGAAAAAAAAAGAATATTAACAACAAATACTTTTTCACATCCAACCCAGTTCTGCGGAATCAGAATCAACGTTGAGTTTAAGCAAGCGAATGAGCCAATTGGAGTAAAGTCCCATGCAGATTTAAATTTTTCCCACTTGTGACGAATGCAGCTATCGATTTGTTTTGCATGCTAGCATGCTAGTTAACATTTGTGTCAGTCAGCTGTTGGCTCTCACGCTGGCCAGTAGAATCTTCCTGCCTATTCGTGGCAGCCAGCTATAGGCTCTCACTCTGGCCAGTAGAAAATGGCCGCAAACTACATGAAAACTGCCGTAGAAGCATGGAATATTGATTATTTCCACTATCGATGGCAGCTGGGAAATGCAAAGTCGGTCTTGGCTTGCTCGCTAACTTGGAGCATGTGCATGTAAATTTTGGTGCAAATCAATCGAAAATTGCGGCCGTGCATTCGTCACACACACACACACACACACACACACACACACACACACACACACACACACCCTGCCTTTTATAGATAGAGATCAGAGCATTTGGAATGGAAATAGCGATCGAGAGCGAGAGTTTTGCGATGTTTCGTCTGTTGGGAATAGGCTGCAGGGTGGCAGAAATAATCATCCCATAAAGTCGCGAAGACGCCCTTGAGCTCTACCAAAACTGGAAACTGATGACTCGTTATATCCATCCCAGATATCTCATCAATACTCCATTTTTGGTCTGATCTGGCTCTTGTATAGACCATAGCAGAAGGAGTTTTGTACTTTCTGAAGCGGTACAAAGAAGCGACCTTACTTCCTCTGAATCTTTAGTGATGGATCGGATATATGATTTCCACTTGAGGTCGTGGGTGAATAGTCAAAGCGTTCAAAGCAAGGAGCCTCCTTGAGAGAACAACCATTCGTCATGACAGACAAAAAATGTATTGAATGTCACAATATTGAATGTCCTGTGCTCGTTCAAATAAAAGATCGGCTGATAAACTTTGGTCATCTGGATTTTCAGAGGTACACCAATACACTGTTGTATCATCTGCGTAGATATTCACTAAATATCTGAGTATGTTCTTAAGCAAACCGCTAACAAAAGACACAAAGAGAGCATTTCACAAAGAAAATAAAAAAATGTATTTTACATTATTTAAGGAACAGACGACAGATATATTTTGTATTATTTTGAGAAAAAAAAAACACAAAAAAAAACACACATTATCATTTTCGAAGGAACAAACAACAGATATTTTAATGATTCCACAGAAATGCCAAAAAATATTTTGTTATTTCACAAAGAACAGACGATAGATATTTTGTTATATTCTGTATTATTTTGCAAAAAAACAGACCTTTTTTTTTCATTTACGAAGGAACAGACAATAGATATATTAATGATTCCAGACAAAAGACAAGAAATATTTTGAATTATTTCACGAAGCAGACGACAGATATTTTGTATTATTTTGCAATGAAGTCAACAGATATTTTGTAATAAACCGATATATTTTATCATTTTTGAAGGAACAGGCAATAGATAATTTCATTTATTTTTCAAGGAACAGATATATTTTTAATATTCTAACGTAAAGGAATATTTAAGTATATGTATAGGTCTTTTAAAATCGTAGAGAAATGATATATTCTATATTGATTTTTGATTTTAAATATTTTTTAATTTTCTATCAAGAATAAAATGAACATGATTTTCTTTTTATATATTTTGTTCCTATTTGCCTGTTTTGTTGTATGGCGTATGACGATAAACTACATCCGGCGTCCTGGGTATGACGATAAACTACATCCGCATCCAGGGTAAGACGATAAACTACATCCAACAGCAAGGCCTCTGATCAGGAGGTTTTGAGTGTTCCCAGGTCCACCCTGACCCGGGGTGGTAGCGCCTGTTAGGGTTCCAGCTATGGGCAAATAATTAACCCCGAAACTGAGGTAAAAAGCATTTTGAAAGTGTAAAAATAGGTTTTAATACCAGAAATACTTTGTAAAAAATTATTACCAGAAATAAATTTTTGAAGAAAAAAACTGTTACCATCAATGCGTTTTTGAAAAAAAAATAAAAATAAAAAATAAATTACCATCAGCAATACGTTTTTGAAAAAAAAATATATTTCCAGCAATACATTTTTGAAAATAATATTACCAGCTATACAATTTTAAGGAAAAAATATTACCAGAAATAGATTTTTGACAAAACAAAAATATTACCAGAAAAAAAAGTTGTCGGCATTAAATGACCCATTGAGGTTAATATGATGTAAAACAAACCAAACCAAACCTGTTTTGTTGTCTTTATCAAATAGAAAAATGCAATTATCCAATAAATCACGTTAAAGACACTCTTTGCACTGTTAAGCTTATCTTTGCTTTTTATATTTTAAGGGTTGGGGAGAAGAGGCAATGATTGGCTGATCGTTTCTCCAGCCTTTCACAAGTTCGTGCACGATTTGCAAAAATAAATAAATAAAAAAGGAAAAATTTCAATAGTCTTTATTCATAATCTTACTAAGCATATAGTTTAGTCGTGTCTGTTTTTTATCTTTTTGATATAAGACATTTGCTGATGGTTTAGACAAGGTCATATAGTGTTGTTAGGCAAAATTTTCATTTCAAATTCCAAGTTAAAGTGCAACATGACTTGAAAACTTAGTAATTTCAAAGTACACCCTCACAACAACAAATAAATCTAAATCCATTTTTCTCACTTACGACCATATCGAGTTTAAACATCGGTTCTTATATGATCCAAAATTAAGCAGCGTTGAGCCTGGTCAATACCTAGATGGGTGACCTCTTGGGAATACCAGGTATTGTAAGCGTGGATAACGGCATGAAATTGTTAATCGGTGGACCGAGTTCTAATTCCAGTTAGGTTCGTTATATTTGCTTACGCGTAAATACCCTTTGGAAAGGTATGAGTCCATCTCTTCTGACCTAGTCTTTTTTTTAATCAATTCACCCCAAGCAAGGCAATAATGCTACTAAGACGAACGGGGTTACTGAGAGGGGAAAGAGAATGAAAAAGACTTTAGATGGAACCGGAAATACAACCCTAAACAGGAATCAAGGGATAAACCTCTACTGCTGTTCAAAAGACTGGGGAGGAGTGTGAAACGGGTTATTTTAAGTACAGCTATGCGACATACCTTGAAAACTTAGTAATTTCAAAAGACAACTTCACAACAACAAATAAATTTAAATCCTTTTTTCTCGCTTGCGACAATGTCGAGTTTAAACATCAGTACTTATGTAATCACCAAAGTTGAGCATCGTTGAGCCTGGTCAATACCTGGATGAATGTCCGCTTGGGAATATAAATGAATCTAAAAAAATCTTTTTTTTCTCTTTTGCATGTCATGTTATAAATCAGCTTGATTATGTTGCTAAACAATTTTTTGTTGTACAAATAAAGATCTTTTATCATCATTACACGGCAGACATACTGACGTGACTATATTAAGCATATCAGCATATTACACAAACACACGCACGCTCACATTCACAGACGACATTATAGTTATTTTAGACTCTCCAGTCATGTTCAACATATTAGGACCCAAGAGTTCAGTTGGTTAGACTTTTTTTTACACACGTATCGTTTGATTAGAGAGGTGAAGGGTTGTTTTAGAAGCAGTCATATCTTTTCGAAAGAACTGATAACAGAGAAATAGTTCAAAGTGTGTCGCAAAGTCCTAAACACATTTTTTCATTCTCTTTAAATGGTTGCCACATTCCTTATTTAACCCATAACTGGAGGAGGATGGATTCATGCCTTTTCCAAGTGCCTTAACGCGAAGTGAACGAAACAGATTCTACCAGAATTACAATTCGACTTGTAGATTACATTTTTCAACTCCGATAATCATTACATTACCCGCACGCACGTACGCACACGCACATATAAGAGCGCGCGCACACACACACACATTTGTCTGGATAAATTTAAACCATTTTGTAATTTCGGTTTGATGAAGCATATATTTAAAACTTATCTGTCAAGTTTTTTTCCTTTGATCTATCTATCTAATATATATATATATATATATATATATATATATATATATATATATATATATATATATATATATATATTTCAATTAAAAGTAATTATAATTTATAAATTCATGAATCATTCATACAAAAAACAAATATAGAGGTTAATGATTTAAATGGCGAGAATACATCGTCGCAAACAATATAAATAAGATACACCAACCCCGAACCTGTATATGAATGATATGATCCCTGTTTATAAATTCCAGTTGCATAAGGTCTTTTTAATTTTTTAAAGTTCATGCCATATTGACGGAAAATCTACCAGTAAAAAATAATTCTCTTATTGCTATATTTGTACAAAAACGCACAACCTTAAAATTTAAATTCAAACTCAGCGTTGCGACCGCACGTTCCAAAACAATAACGCATTTCTCATAGCATTTTTTCGGATTACATCTCTATTTTCGTTGTCCTCTTATTACCGAGAAGTAAAAACAAGAACAAATCTATTTCCATACCTGAAGATGTCTGTAGGAACAGACGAAAGCATGTAAAAAATTAAAAAGACCTTATGCAACTGGATTTTATAAACAGGGATCATATCATTCATATACAGGTCGGGATTGGTGTATCTTATTTATATTGTTTGCGATGATGTATTCTCGCCATTTAAATCATTAACCTCTATATTTGTTTTTTTGTATGAATGATTCATGAATATATATATATATATATATATATATATATAAAACAAAGCATAATATTTTTTTCTAAATAAATCCACATTACAACCAAAAACGTTTGCCGCACCTCTCTTCTCTTCTTTTTAATATACATACTTTTCTCTCGTTGGAACCACTACAACATATTTCTTTTATATATATATATATATATATATATATATATATATATATATATATATATATAGATATAGATATAGATATATATAAAATAAACAAATCCTAATGAGCCAGATACTACCTACCCAGGTTTCACCACATGGAATCATCAGGGTGAAACCTAGGTAGGTAGTACCTGGTTCATTAGGATTTATTTATTTTACTTTTACTCTACTTAGTATATTGAGTACTCTTCGTTTTAACTTATTACTCGCTGGAATTTTTTTCTTTGTACCAGAGATTTAAGGTACGGGAAAAATTCTTTCGGCCAGTTCGAAGATTTCCGGTGATTTCTTTTTTTTTTTCATTTTTCCTCGGATGCCACTTTCTTTGAAAATTGTGCTATCCTGGTTTTTTCACCCACCGAGTTTAAATAGATTTACATTATATATATATATATATATATATATATATATATATGTGTGTGTGTGTGTGTGTGTGTGTGTGTGTAATACATACTGTTTAATAAATTAAAATGCGGCGTTTATTTCAAATACAAAGTAGCTACTATAATAACGTTTGAAGTAATAGATATTGAATTAAAATAAATCCATTAATTTACATATATATATATATATATATATATATATATATATATATATATATATATGTGTGTGTGTGTGTGTGAAAAGCCGTGGGTAAATAATCCAAGTAGATCCTATTAATCAAAAGAGAGCTCAATATATTTATTATATATAGCATATATATATATATATATATATATATATATATATATAAAATAAACAAATCCTAATTGTGGTATCCAGGTTTTTTCACCCACCGAGTTTAAATAGTGTATGTGTGTGTGGGGGGCGGGACGTGTAATACATACTGTTTAATAAATTAAAATGAGGCGTTTATTTCAAACAAAGTATGTAACGTTTGAAGTAATAAATATTGAATTAAAATAAATCCATATATATATATATATATATATATATATATATATATTTTGAGGAATAAAAAATATGGGATCATATTAAACATAAGATACAACAATATCCACGTTTAAAACATAAAATGTAAGGTACCTTTCGACCGACACATTTTCAAACACAATCGTCGGTAATCTAAAACGGAGTACTAACAAGAAATTTTTTTTATTAATACCGTAATAAAACAGGATGGTAAGGGGGAGGATTGTTTTACCTCAAATCATGTAACCGTTCCCCCAAATAAGGCCAACTTAAACTTCATCTCCCGTTGTACGCAGAGTGCCGGCCTACGTATGTTGATAATAACAGACTCCAAGATGTCGAGGTGGAGTCTGTTCCTAGCCCTGTGCAATACAGAAAAGAAATGGCGAGAATACTCACTCCTACAAACACCAGAATTTAATAGATGTTCACCGATAGCAGAGGCATGAGTCTGCGAACACCCGGATGTCACAAACTCATGCCTGCGCTCGCAGCCCGGGACATGTTGGGCGATTCTAACCTCAAGCCCCTGGATAGTTTTGCCCACATAGTCGAGCCCGCATCGACATTTAAATTGATAAATAACTAAATTATTATGGTAGGTAGGCAAAACATCCTTACGGCAAGGGGGGAAGGGCCGCCTGGTAGTAAATATGTTCCTGACTGTAACGGCATTATAACACCGTTTAATGGATGAAGAGATCTTATCGGCGTATGTCTGACTCTCAGGACCAATCCAAGGGAGCCTGACATATATAGGACATTTGGAAGGCCCATATTTCTTAATTTCATTGAACTTCCTGATCTTGCGTTCAATGACAGTTTTAATAACTGATTCGGGGTAACCGTTCTTAAGAAACAATTCCTTAATTGTTCTCAATCGGCATCAAGTCTACACTTAGAACAAATCTTCAATGCCCTATGGGTAAGACAACTTATAAGGTTAACCTTTCTGGCTCTGGGAGCAAAAGAGTCCCAGGCCAGATAGAGTCCTGTAAAAGTGGGCTTCCGGTACACGCTCGTTAAGAAACCCGAGGGAGTTCTCTCCACAAGGACATCAAGAAAAGATAAACGATTGTTCTCTTCAACCTCCATTGTAAATTTAAGTGCAGGATGGAGATTATTTAATAATGAAAAGAACACTTCCGCTATTGCACTATTAGAAAATGATGCGAACGTATCATCAACATAGCGGAAGTAACAATACGGTTTGTTAACCCTCTCCAAATCAGTTTTAGATTACCGACGATTGTGTTTGAAAATGTGTCGGTCGAAAGGTACCTTACATTTTATGTTTTAAACGTGGATATTGTTGTATCTTATGTTTAATATGATCCCATATTTTTATTCCTCAAATGTTTGATTAGACTTGACAGTACTAGAAATCTGTTTATATATATATATATATATATATATATATATATATATATATATATATATATATATATATATAAAGAACAGTAAGATATATATATATATATATATATATATATATATATATATATATATATATATATATATATGTTATGGTCCAATTTCCTTGTACCACGGTGATAGTCAAGGTAGAACCAATAAAGAAGAACTCGAACACGGATATGGAATAACACATATATATTACAAACAGGAATATATACAGAGAAGTAGAAAGTGTTAGTACGAACAATCAGGTTTAGTCGTAATTGTCTGAACGCGACTCTGTTTCGGACTGCCTCTGACTCGACTGACTGACTCGCTCGCTCAGACTGACTGACAGACTCCTGACAGACCTCACTCCAGACTGAACTCCCTGCTTCCTCTTTGAGGCGCAGTATTTATTACCTATGGAATAGTCCATTTTGTTATTATGGGTAAAGTCCCATAACAATATATATATATATATATAATATTATAAATTAATTGATTTAAAATATGGTTATTTTCGCTACACAGTTCCAACCATGTTTCAAAAATAGAAGCTAAAAACCCTAATTTTATTTTTGCAAATAAATTAAAAGCATTAGTTCCA